CGATAGCCACCCGAGACTTCACCTCTGGGATCACCAACAAGAACCCCGACACCAGAGCCAGTGGATCTGGTACAATATATTGAACCGACTCCGAGAAGAGAATCGAGGAGGAGGGGGGCGAAAAAACAAAGACAATGGGTAAAACCCAGGAAACCGAAGCAGGTTTCCTGGCAAGAAGAGATGGAAGAAGAGACAGAACCCGAGACCTCGGAAGAGGTCAAAATGAAGTAGTTAGCCGAGAAGGTCGAAACCAGCAGGTTGCTGGAATATCAGGCGGAAAAAATAGAGGAGCTCAAGAAGGAGCTGGAAAGGGTGAGGTGGAGCAACAACAAATTGATGAAGGAGTTGCAAGGAGAAAGAAATATGAGAAAGGCTCTCCAGAATGACTGGAGAAAAGAAGAGAAGGAAGCAAGGAAAACTCTGGCCAGGGTGGTCAGGGTGAATACGGGAGTGAATAGGTACTATCCGCTACCTGAAGGAAGAAGATGGGGGATAGAAGACTGAAGCCTGATGGGACTCAGGCTGAGGGATGGAGAGCTAATGTCACAAACTGTGACTAAGCAAGGCAGATTTCACATAGCTCAGACTTCCAAGTTATAGGTATGTTGGGATTTTACATGACACACATTAGTGCGCCATAGGGTATTATGTTTACCTGTTCGTGACTCACAGTTGTGAGTCACACGATGTTATGATTTTCACACATGACTCATACTTATGAGTCATGAGTTTCACTCAGGTAATGCAAGTTGCGCACCTGACTTGGTTATTACGTTTTGATTGGTTTTAGGCATGTTGCGCAGCGACTCATAGGAGTCGTCTGATAGATTTCGCATAACTCATGGTTATGAGTTACAGGGTTCACGTGACGAAAGGTATGAGTCATGCCAGGTGAAGAGCTACTATATAAAGGTGTTACTAGGACCCTAAGTATTAGCTCTTCACACGTTCTTTTTGTTTATTTCCTACCTTCAAGTTATTATCAATAAAACCTACCTTTACGCTCTTTAAGATTTATCTTAAGAAACCCAAGAATTGTCTTTCCTCCCACGAGGAGAGATTAACCCCTAAGCAAGGAATAAGGAGATAGGCGCGAACAAGCTAGTAGTCATAGGGCTGGACTAGCGGGATCGTGTAGGCACAGGCCTGAGAACTATCACCTTACATCAAGAGAAGTATCGTTACCTGTCGCTCGGTCCTACTCGGTAGGATTCTTAACAATATGTTTGACTCTGGGCCCTGCTGTAGTTATTGTAATGATAAGATATATTACATAAAATGATGTAGTATTCATATAAGTACTCTTTACAGAGATATAAGACATGCAACCAAGGAGTTTTCACTGGGTAACATAGAAGGAGCTCTACTCTATAAGATAAGACTTAGTTAGATTAGATTGGTAGGTTAGTTATGATGCTATAACTTCTGCAAGTTTATATACAGTTACTCTTAAGAATATAAGAAGTAACATACAGGCCCCTCAAGCTCACATGAACATGAGTCATCCAGAGGCTTGTTCACAATTGGTTAATGATAACAAACAAATCCCTAGTTGTAAATTAGTTATCTTTATCATATACTTAAAGCTAGGATAGAGGCAAAGGACTTCATGTTTCAGAGCTTCTAATATCTATTGGACTATTGACAGATGGTAAAACCTGTATTGTTCTACCTTGTGGAGGAGATATATGGTGGACTGGAGAAAGGCTACTGGTACAAGTTATAAAAAAGGCAATTCCTGTATTTGAAGCCCAATTTCCTTGATGCCAGACTCTCTTTGCTTTTGATAACTTAAAGAATCATCTCAAATTTGCAGATGATACTTTGTAGGTTTCAGAAATGAACCTAGAGCTAGGAGGACAAAACAAGAAGATCATATAAGATACTTAAGTAGTAGATAAGTGACAGATAGAGGGAGGCTATATGTAGTCAATAAAGCTTCTAAGTAAAATTCTAAAGAGATTAAAACTAGTTCTTATTGAATGTGGACTCAGACTCTGGCCTAACAATCAACTAAACTTCAGAGCCCAGTATTCTGTACCATCTAGCAATTCAAGAGAAACCAAGTTTAATCCTCAATGTCTCTAAGGTGGAACCTACTATAGTACTTAGACCTTCATACTTACTTACAGGACAGTCAGATTTTAAGGCTCAAAAATGAGAATTGCAGGAGGCAATTGAAAAGGAAGGCTATAAGGTAATCTTCTGTCCTGCCTTTCATTGTAAAAAAAATCAATTTTATTGAATATTTCTGGTGAGCTGCCAAACAGTACACATATCAAAATTGTGAGTACAATTTCGACTCCCTTCAGTGCTTAGTATCTCTAGCATTGGACTCTATTCCTCTAACTCTAATTTGGAAATATCATGCAAGAACTATTAGAATAAAAGCTTATTGTAGTTACATTGTTTATGTCTTTGCAGAATATAAAAATCTTGTACATAGAAAGTACAAGTCACACCAGCAGGTTAGCACACATGATATAGACTTGGTATTAGGGTAAAACTACTATTATTTTTATTATATTAGAATATACCTGATGTGATTTAAAATTAAACTGTTTTTAATTTGTGATATGATTTGAAACCAAAGTTAATATTAGTGAAAGAGAGAGGATTTAGGGTTTAGTACTGATTACATATAAGATTGAGTGTTATATGTTGCATTGAGCCAGGTGTCCCTTTTAGCTGCATGGTACTATATATATATATTTTTATCACTGGGATTCCTTATTGGTATATATGCTAGTTTCGAATTTTATTCTAATATATTTTTCTTGATATATTCCAAACAGGGTTATACTGAAATTGGTTTATCCGCTCTCCGTCTTCTAAGTTATAAAGACCTCATCGCTCTACTTAGTACCTCTGGGATTCCATATCATCATCTGAACAGATTCTATTGTAATCATCCTACTTCAGGGCTCCCTGACCACCGAGTCAACTGATTCCTTCGCGTAAACTAATTTTGGCAACTAGGTTTGTGGGGGGCAAACTCTCTACTAATACTTGGATGCAAACAACCGTCAATTTTAGATTATCTCCAGGCTCGTCGCTATCCCCTGCCTCTTCCAAGTTCTCGACTACAATTTTTCCTTAAGGGAGTCCAAAATGATGGTTGCCGTATCCAGGATTCTTCTGCACTTCGCCCCAGTGGCGTGCTGGAAATCTCGGAATATCGTAATTCCGTAACGTTTCCTTGCACAGCGGGTATAGCATCTCAACTAGGAACTTGTAGGAGTACTGTACCGGTTCAGTGGTCTCGTATTCTATAAACACCCATGACTACTGCTACCGACCGCGTCTTACTAATTCATCCATAAGTGGAATCATTATGATACCAGAGATGGCTTAGCCTTCTCTTCTCCCACGGGGCCTCCGGCAATGTATCCGAAGGAAAGCTCTATTTTCAGTTAATCCGGCAGTGCACGTATTGTATTCCGCCAACGCTTCATATTCGGGGGGAAATCAAAATCAAGCGATCTTGTCAAATATGTGGATAAGAGGGAATATTCGCGGTTAGGTTTGTAAGGGAGGACGTGAGAGCCGCAAAAAGGGGTGACACTAGGTACCGTACCCCGGGTTGACGCTTCCGCTAGCATCCGGGAACGGCTGGAACGGCAAGCCCGTTATTGGGCGAGAGTGTCATAAAAGTATCTAACCACGAGAGGGTACTATTATAACTTGGCTGTGCAGTGCGGGACGATCCTACTGTAGAGCAAGCGGTGAACCTGGGGATCCGGGTCTTGCTGTAAAACTTGGGTTTATCCTTACTTTCCGTGTTTTCTCTTGCGAAGAAGAAGGTTCTACCGTGAGTGTTATTTTGGTTTAGTTTCCAGGCGTATCCGGGGACCAGGGCAACCGTTGTTTTGAGGGAATCATGTCATTAATGAGTTAGTGTTGGAGAAATGGGTCAGCGGTGGAGCTTGCTCAGAAGTAATTTAGTAATACTGCAGGGCTGAGATGGGTTTCTTCTCTTCCTTCTTTGGATTTCCGATAGAATATAGAGAGATCTTGAAGCAAGAATAGTAGTGGTGAGCTCTATCCATCCGGGTTCCTCGGGTGATTTTTTTTTTTCAATCGTGCCTCAAGATCCCATGCTCCTCGCCCCCGCCGCATGTGGTATTAAAAGGCTTTTGTGATGGGGAATATTTTGCCGAAATTAAGTTTATTCCCTGCTTATAGTATATATCATTAGAAAGAGAGGGTGGTCAACTGACATTGTGAAGAGGGAGACTTCCGAATCATCGAAAGGGGTATAAAAATGGAGGCATGATGGGCTCAATAATATTGAAGATCAACAATTTAGTTATTCTTGGAAATGGGACGATTGTTCCCATTTTTCAGTGCAGGCCTACCCTAGAGGTTTCACAGGAAGAAAGTGCGGTAAGTTGTTAGTGCTGTATGCATGGATACTTGCACCGCGGGAGGTAGGTAGTATCCCGTGATACGGAGAACCCTGGGGGCGGGTTCGCTCGGCCGTTGCTGTATCACAGTGGCCATGCAACGTCAACTTGTAAGGCAACTCAAGTCAACGTTCTCCTAATGTGGGTTTACGCCTTGTTACTTGTACATCAGATCAGTGCAAGACTAAACATCATATTAAGGATATCATGAGATTCTCTTACGAAAACAATTTACTCCCTCCGTCAGTTGCAAGAATAAAGACAAACTCTGAACTGGTGCTGTAATGCGACTGCATTGGCCTTGGTTCTGCGGAGGGGACCCTTGCTCGGCTCGTATTGCACTATAACTTTCCCTTCCATATCACGAAGCTAGGATAACTCATCCGGCATCTGGCGGAATGCCGCTTCTGAATGGTATGAGTAGTTTTCAAAGAGATCCTACAAGTATATAAAACCCCCTTTCTGCTACCTTCAATTCTCCTTTCCTTCACCACTTACCATCTCCGGGATCGCTCTATTCCCCTTCCTCCTATTTCCGAAAAACCATCGCCGGTAAAGCTAGATCAAGCCATCAAAATGCGATTCTCCACCGCAATGTTTTCCCTCATGGCCATGGCCACCAGTGCCTTTGCTCAAGTTGCTACCACTGCAGGCTATGACACCGTCTACGACAATGGGAGTCTCTCCACCCTCTCACTCGCCTGCTCCGACGGTCCCAACGGTCTCTATACGAAGGGTTATCAGACCCTGAGCTCTCTCCCCAGGTTCCCTCGGGTTGGTTCAATTGAGACCATCCCCGGGTGGAACTCCCCCAACTGTGGGAAGTGTTACAAGGTCACTTATACCGCTACCGGTGCCTCGATCAACATGATTGGTGTCGACGCTGCTGCCAGCGGGATTGTTATGAGTCTGGGGGCGCTCGACGAGTTGACTGGTGGCTTAGGGGAGGAATTAGGGCGTGTTAACGTTACTTATGTGGAGACTGCTGGGACTGATTGCGGGTTCCCTGCTTAAGGTATCGAATTCCTTACGCGCGGGAGAGGTGATTTTCTAGACGGACTGATGCTAAAAATTTCATAGGGATCGGAAACGCGGTGAAAACTGGGCGACGGATGCATGCTACCCGGGAGCGATGGCACTAAGGTGGTTTGAGTGGTAGTGGATTGTGCAGAAGAGCATATCTAAGGAGTTTAAATCATCATTTACCTATACAGTCCTTTCATAACATTCCTATATTTCTTTACTTGTATCAAGTCATAATATGAAAAACTGAAAATTGTGCTAAAGGGAATTTCTGGATAAGAATCATTCTATGTTGGTGCCAGAAACGATAGAAAGCGAGTGCTCAGGTGTGTTCATGAGATCTGCGCGAGATCGCCTTCCTACTTCTACTGACATATCCGAGTAATTGCCGGTGTAAAGGTGGGACGTGGAGCCAGGGGGACGCGTGAGAGAACTCCTCCCTTGCAGGATTAGCTCCAAGCCCCGACCGCAGCCCGATCCCATGGCAAGTAAGGCCAGTTGGGGCTATTAGACATTTGTCTAGATTTCTGTCTGATGCATAAGAAATACCCTTACGGAGTAAGGACTGGATCTAACCCGCATTATTCTCTGGCATGGTATACCGAGAGAGATATCCTGATGCGTATTAGCGAATTCCTACCCTTCATGCCCGAGTTCCGCCAGTAAAAATTCCCTATCATATTTAAGCTCATCCGAGTCGTAGCAATCTCCTGTGAACCTGAAAAGCATGACAGGGTTCGAGCTCGTCCTCCGGTAAAATCCGAAACTCGCTCTGCCCTTCGCATGTTTACCCCTAAGCTGTTGTTCAAGCATTTTAGCGATGTCATGGTATCTCACTCGCGTAATAATATTGCTCGAATGGGGTGTTTGGATGGCGGGCTGCATAGTACGATATAACCGCACGGGGACCTACTGCAGACTTACCAGACGTTGTTAGCCGAGGAAGTGTTACTATAAATAACAGGTGCAAGGGTCATGGGAAGGTGAAACAAGGGATCCTGGGGGATGGTAAGGTGATTGGAGGGCATAGAGAGAGGACCCAGGCTGGTCGCCTTCGGTGAATGAGGGTCTACTGGCCGACCACGGGGCGAGCTGGGCTTTGGATCTCAGAGAATATGCAGTTCCCCGGCATCAAAAACTCTAGTGAAAATGCAGTTTGGCCGGTATTGGGCCCAACAACTGTGCAGTACGGCTGTTGGTGGCTTGAGATAGATTTACGGTACAGTATCAATTATTTATCGCCGGACGCTTCCCGATAACACCTCGTTCCCGCTAGATAATTATTTAGGACCAATGAGTGGCGCACGCCGGAATTCCCGCTTTTCGAACCAAGATCGCCTGACTACCCCGCTAAAACCCCCAGGGAGATGTCTTTCCCCCTTTTTTCTTTTGAAAATAGGAAAATCTACTCTGCGAATTCACGGAGGACTGTGGTGGACCTTTTTCTCCGCTTAAATTCGGGTATCATATTATGGCCGGGGATACAGAGCCCCTGCCAGAATCAAGGTTTCCGTATGCATATGATATATCGCAGGGGGGATACATTGCAGGAAACCTCATACACCGAGGGTAGGGGCCCAGGAGACCTAGGCTTGGCGGCAAATGTTTTCGAAACATGGTGTTCATGGTTGTACGCCGAACCTGCGCACGGCCGATGATGATAGGGTGCTCTAGCTTTTCCAGGCAAGGAAATCTTGAAGTGCTTTGCCTACGATTACCTCTTCGGTGTTTGCCTATCATATGATACTGATTGCTCTTTTCTCCCACAGGGGTTGGCATCCACATGGCTTCTGTTGTGGAGGTCTAGGGTTCGGGCCAACCCCTCTTTTAGTGTTTTTCTTCGGTAAACCATGGGAGAGTTGCTCGCTTTCCTGTCGGATGCCTTCTGAACGTCTGTCCTCTCCCTACATTATCTGGAGGCCTTATTTCTGGTATGATAGTTCATGGCCTATCCTTTGAAAACCCAAACCACGCCAAGTTCTAACTATCCTATCTCTGCCCCAGGTAATTCAAAACTTCTATTATATCATAGCTTATTTCATAAAACCGTTTGCAGCGCGTATGTGCGCTAGATTTGATGGTGTCTTAGGCAATCCCTACAGTATTTATTATGCATATGGCTCTTCTCATGACCTAGCGGGATATCCCAATCCCTGTCGTGTTAGACTTGTTATTGCGGATAACTTATTTGGCTGTGGCGTATTCAGACTTTATTACTCTCAAGGGATTAGGCGCCCCAATGCGTTAGATGGGAATTGCTTCCACTATTTCCAACTATGTCCCTCCCACCAAGGCACGCCACTTCACTCATCCATCACTCGGAGTGTTAATTCCAATTGCAGCCCTTCACGTATCTTGCTTCCCTCAATACACGATTACCCATCCTATAGAGTTAGGAGATGTGGCTGCTCTGCTACTCCGGTAACCCTCCCTGGGTCGTGACATCCTTCCAATCCCATCGTTACCAGAGGCTGTGGATAAAATCCTAAAATTTTCTCCCGGGTAGGTGTATTCACAACTTAAGTTCAAGGGGTTCTATGGTATATGAGCGCACCTATTCGGCTTGTTTATTCAGTTCCCGGAATATGTGAGGGTGGAGGTGAATTCATGAAACATTATTAATGTCGGGCCTCACCATCTTTTGACCTCCCACGCTGCCCCTTGGCGTAATTGGCGGTCCTACTCTGAATTTACTCCAGGACACCGTTGCCCTGCCAAGCGATGCCAGACCCTCCAGAGCCTGTCCTGTTCATTCTACGGCACCTGGAGACTCTAGTTTTAATCCCCAAAGAACTCAACACACCTCAAACAGCCAGAAGGACCTCTACTCATCCCTAATTCCTCTCAATCGCCTCTGCACCTCGATAATCCATAACTCCCATTTCTGTTATGCCGGGAACCTCATAAATTCCATACACGCCTGCGATTGGAACCACGAGACATCCCACTCTCCACCAAATAGGCCATTATCCCGGAGCACTTCTCCGTGCCCTCATTCGTATATGCAGGACTGCGGTGGAAACCGTCCCCTGCCGGAGAGGATGAGAACACGACCAGTTCAATCAAATCATCAACAGATCCTGGGGGCTGGGAAGGTTTGCTGGCAGGGTTAGAATTACCCCTTCTGGCAGGGTATTCCTCTGGTTCCTAAGCCGAAATTTTGAGAGACTCGGTGTACGAACGAAGGGTGAATTCTGTGAACTATCATGACTCATTCAGTCAACTTAGTGTAACCGAATCTATCATACCTAATTCCTCCAGGGTCCTCCATAACAGGGAATATTCCGTCGCGCCGAGGACGTAATAGCAGTACACCGCAAACTTTAGATAGACTTCATAATATTATAAATTACCACCTCACCCCCCAACCCCCCCCCCCCCCACCCACCACCACCGACAGCATTTCCACAATAAAAAGGGTACTCCAACACCCGCCGGGGCGAGCTAGTCCTGGCCGCCAACACGCACAATACTAGCAATCCCCTAGCCGCGCGGCCTTATCGACCCTACCAAATAAGCAATAAAACTTAACAAGGGAATACCAACCAAGTTACTGGGAACTGGAGTTGGACCTTGCTAGGGGGCTGGTGTGCTACACATCGAAAAGTGAGATCTGGTCATCGGGTGACCAATGCGATCGAATCTCACTCTTCCTTCTATCCAAGGAAGCTAGGCTAACCGAAAGCACGAAGAAAGACAGAACTAATAGATATCCCTAATTTGATTGAAAACAAAGAATAAAGCTCCCTCCCTACGAAATCTCTAATAGAGTCCTGATAGGTCAGGAAATAAGGAAGGAGGAGAAAAGAAAGAAAAAGCAGGCCCACAACAAATATCACTGACTTGGAGAAAGGTATCTTACAAAGGAGGATCTGCTACGAGTTCTCTACACTATAACCAGGTAGTAGCCTTTATTCCCCTACAGTTTCAAAACCAAGGCCAAAGCACCAAGTCACTTCCAGCTTCTCCAAAGTCAGCCTATGTCCATACCGTCTATATATATTAGTATTTTATTGCACAGCTAGCACTGAGATATCACATCTGACCGAAACTTACAGAAGTTTCCTTTCTCGCATCCCCCGCCCCAAACGAGAGGTGTGAAGGAGGGGAGAAAACACAGCCTAGGTATGATATTTATCATACCCAGTTACGCTTGCATGCTCGCACGCTGGGGGCTGACCCCAATCGCCATCCCTCCGGTAACACAACGCCCTGGAAATACCGATGAATGGAAGGAAGGAAGGCGGGAAGCAGGAAAAGAGAGAAGAAAAAAAAAAAAAAAAAATCAACGGGTATCCCTAACTTGGTCGATCGTCGAAAATCTGAAAGGAAGCTTCCTTACAGACCTCCGTATTTTAGCCCTGGGTGCTATGGAGCTAAAAGACTCGGACGAGCACGACCTGAGAGAATCATTTTCAACTTTCTCCGGGGTTTCAAGGGGCTTAGTCCAGCCCGTAATGCGGTCGCTGGAGAAACCAGGGAACATGTCCGGATCATCTAATAAGGTCGCCACCGCATCCCCGCGAACCAAAATTACACTTCCTTTCTCTCTCCCGCGCCTGCGGGGAGAGGGTTCTCGCCGCGCGCCAAAAATGTGGCAGCACTGGAGGTGTGGCTGGGATACAAGCTGGGAAAGAAAATTTAAGTGCAAAAAAAATACAGTGAGCAAACCTTGGGGAGCGAATGCCGGTGCTCGAGGTCTCGAGTAAGCTCTGAGTGTCGCTTGGGGATTGGGTATTTTGTCGGACTTTGTGCGTGCCGGGATTGAGGGTATTGGTATTGGTGATACGGCAATTGCCATGATACACTAAAGGGTCTCCCGTGAGGTGTTACGGCAAGGGGATAGATATTCCATGAAGAAGTTTGAGATTGGACTGGAGCGGGGGGCACTAGAGGAACTATAGTAGTTCATTTTGCGCCTTTCCATGAAATAATCCTTGTTGGGATTGTATGAATTGATATGACTGCCGGACGAGAAAAGAAGCTTGATTTTCTTACCACCTGCGCAGCTGTGGACTTTTATGCTAACTGAACTATCAAGTGAAAGAAAAGAAATATCAGAAAAACCCGAGGTCGGTAATATGAGGACCTCGGAGGAAAATAATCTGACAAAACCTCGGTGAGGAAGAAAAACATATGAGAACCTCGGAATACCATAGTTGAATATGGCATGGTTGTACGGTTGTGAAACAAATGGAGAAGAGATAAAGAAAAACTCAAACAGTAACTAACGTTGAAGAGAGTGGTGAGGAAAGTACTAGGATAAACTAACTAAAAGAAAACTAGTCTGTTTGACGGATAAGCACTAGGTCCAACATATTGAGCGAGTGAGAGCCTGTGACTACAACTTGGTTCACTGGAATATAAACGTTGATGATTCCCCTCTAAAGCGGATGCTGAACAACCGTGGATAGCAACCGGGCCCAGAAAGGCTTGTCGTGTAGAACCCTACAATTTATCCCCCGAGGAGGACTCTTGAATAGCACAACGTAAGCTTAGATGGGGCACTTTATCCTACCATCACCAAACCCCCACCACCGCCCCAACCGTCCCCCGCCACCTATATAGACAATCCGTCTTTGACGGCTGATACTATGATACTCGAATTTTCATGCAGAGTACCTACCTCGACCTAATTCGTGCAGATTATCTGGTATCCCCTCGACGACTTATCCCCCCCTTTCCTAATTACCTTCGGCGAACCCCTCTCTCCATCTGTGCCTCATAGCCCATCCAAGAACTCCCTTGCCCCTGCGTCCCTCGCCCCACACGTGCACTGCTCCCGCTTGTACGGCTTTTTGGTTGGTGGATCACACTGCAAGGGTGTGTGTCCTCACACTTTGGAATTCTGGCGGTGATATTTGACGAATAATTTGAAGGCCCTTGGGGGCCTGAGGTCCTCTAGGCTCTCGGCGAAGGTGAGTACTAGGTGGTCAAAGAGATGGGCTAGGAGCACGGCGCTGAAGTAGAAGTTAGGCCTTTAGCGGAATAGGGGCCGCCCGAGAAAGAGATGATGTCTCTTAATTGTCTAGCCCCAGGGAGTTTTCCGGTTCACTAGTTCTAGGTAGCCTGGGGGGTACCCATCGGAGAACAACCGACCCCGGAGCCATGGCAACACCTGGCCCATAGCAGGAGAACACGAACCCGATTTACGATCACTCTGAGCTCCAATCCTCCGATTCGAGTGCATATGCACAAGCGAAAAACCTCGCTGGTGGCGCCCGCAATGTCTCGGACGGGAAGTCAGCGCTGCCACATTCGGTATTGGGCCCGGGATTTCGACCTCGGCCTGTGTAGAGCTGTGTGAACCCACGGCGCCAAGGGAAATAGCGAGGAGCTGGCGGGGATTGGGATACACGGGGGGTTTCCTGTGGTGTACGGTGTGCGGGGCTAAGAATGGGTGATATCAAATAAGTGATTTGCGCATCTGAAGAGGGGGGTTCCGGATGTATGGTCGCGGATTGTGAAGGTATAATTGCTCTCCGATGCCTACTGCTCAGTCCGCCCTACTCAATCTGTGGCCTATTGCTCTCGATCGTGTTTTTTGAGAGATTCTCGTTAATATGGACGAGTATCTCTAAGAAAGTAGCGGGCAAAGTTTCTCAGAATTTGGCATTTGAACAGTCAAGGAAGCAATATTTGCAAGAGTGATTTTATTATCCGGTGAGTTATATTCCCGGGCTCTTAGCGAGGGGACCCCGACAACCCAAAATAATCTTTCACGCGTAATTAGTCCCGACGTTGAAGCCAGGGACCTTGCTTTCTAATACGGTCATCTCTTCTCACTCGTACCGCCTTGTGCCAACGGCGTAACGACACCCTCTGATCCCGGGCTGAAGCTCAATCTCCCCCACTTAACCCCCCACTAGGTCCTTGTGCTAGTGCCATCATGTGGAGGCTCTGGGGCCCAACTAGGGGAAAAATTCATTCTCCAACCCCGATCTCACCCGTTCGTGTGCCATACCGGCAGTGGCAGTACCCAAGGCAAACATACGTTCAATTGACTATGATAGCTTAAATTGTACCATCACTGCTCTCACACCCGCCCCCATCCCCTAGCTAGCAAAGGTAAGATTGGAAGAAAGAAATACAAGGAAAAAAACCCGTATGTACTCACAAAAATATATTTGACATGAAGAAACCGATGTACGAAGGATAAAGGAAGGCCGATAAATATACAGCGAGTGATTCGGAGGAATAGAAAAAGGCGAAAAAGCAAAACAAAAAAAACTGTTCCCCGATCAAGAACCGGGAAATAGGAGGAAACAAAAAGAAAAGACTAATGGGTGGGCTACAAACGAAAATGCTGATAGAGGAAAAAGGAAAAGGGGGAAAGGGGAAAGCATCGCCGGTACAGTACATGAGAAAGCATAAAAGTGACATTGTCAAGGAAAATAAATAACACAACCCTAAACCTTTTTCGCCTAATCGTTATATCGTCTCGCATGCTACCATAACGTTTTCAGTTCTTTTCTTTTCCTATTTCAATAACCGTCTTTGTTCAAGCCCCAGGGCATGCCAGCCCAACGATGCACTTTCACAAATCTAAATCAGCCAGTCAAGAGAAAACTTTCTTCCCCAAGTACCCCACTCTAGGAATTGTCTCTCTAGAGAACACCCCATCGGAAGGAAGCAAACGCTTCCTTAGATCCATACCCTCCCAATGCCCCTGTGCCTTCACAGCGCATCTACATGCCTTCAAAGATTGGAGGAATCCGATTCGCCGAGCCGAAATTTCTTCCAAGCTCCTCAGCCTTTCTATTTGAAATTCTCTTCCTCATGGCAGCGTTGACCCCAAGCCCTCTGTTGCCAGCCACGAACCGCCTTTTCACTTTCTTCTTCCTCGTTGGCGCAATCGTCTCCCCCAGCTTTTTTTGAAGTCCGTAGCCTGCAGTAGGGCTACTGTTAGGGTTTCCATGAAGATCCGCCATTTTCTGGGCGTGCTGGATTTGTCTCTTACGAAAAGCCGTCACACTGACCTTATCCCACCTCGAGAGCATCTGCGCGGGAAGCTCAGCGGAGGGGGTACATTCGTCGTCGGCATCCGGTTCATCGCACGCGCCATCCATTGGGGCTAACTCTAACTGCCCAGCGCTAAAATCGTTGTCTGTGGGCTCGTTGCCCTCCTCGTCGGATGAAAGTTCGAGAAAGTCTCCAATCTTAAGGTTGGCTTCATACTCGTCAATTTCCTCGTCCCCTAGCCCATCGGCAACGAGCTCGCCTTGCTCGTTGAAATAGGGATAGAAAGCCTCAGGTGGGCCCAGTATGTCGGCCCCATTCAAGAAAAGTCCATCACCACCAGTCAACCCGCCGAGTGTCGGGTTATAGTCCAAAAAGCTAGGGGAGTTTTCGCTTTCGCTTTCCTCCGATATCATTACCATGAAATTAGATACACTGCCGTTGCTATTCGTCTCGTCGACAGAAACCTGCTTGCCCTTGGGTATGAGAAAGGTCTTTTTCGATCCCTCCACAACGCAAATCGGGCGATTCGGATCGGCAACCCAGGAGCCGAGCCTCGGGCGGGAAGCCCCGTCGATGTGAACAACTTGTGGACTTTCCTGTTCCTGGGACAACATCGAAACACGTCTAAGGATAGACTTGCCGCTGGGTGTCGGCATCGGAAGATCCTCTTCTTCATCAGTAGTTTCTCCCGAGTCGCCTGCAGTAAAAGTGATAACTAGTTAGTAAAGCGATAATTCTCCGGGTTTGAATTTTTCTCACTCTCGTCCTCGCTCTCACTACCTGCCGTTTCATCCTCGCCCTCGCCCCCTTCGTCACTGCTCCCGTCTGATGAGAAGAAGTGTTTCCATGGGATATCCAAATCGTCATCTGTCTCGTCGGCCCATCCGCCAAGCCCCTGGAGGCGCACCAGATGCTTCACAGCAGGGTCCTTTCTCTCAAAGAAGGGGTTAAGAGTAGGAACTCCGCCATCATCCGAGGATCCCTCATCACTACCCACCGTCGGCGAAAGGAAACCACCACCACCGGTGGGAGAAACAGGTATAGCAGTGCCAGAGAACGGCCCCCCGGGAGTGTTATCGGGAGTGACGGTCGGAGTAGAATCCGGCGTGGGGTTTGCAGTGAAGTTGTCCCCGCCATTAAATAGATAACTGTCCGCCGGATCACAGGGCGCGTCAGGAAAGTAGCTAGGGTCGTTCCATTGAGAAACAAACGCTTCATCGCTGAGGTCATCAAATTCGCCCCCACTACCGAGATCGGGACCATTGATTATTTCGGGCGCAACGCCGCTTGAAAGAAATGGGCTTGCTTTTATGGATGTGGAAGGCTGAATACCATTATCGAGCTCGCAGACGATAGCAGCCTCCTCTTCACCTTCGATATCTTCATCGTCGCCGGCATCGATATCTCCGTCTTCCTCGATATCAATAAGCACCCCACCTTCACCGTCATCGATCAAACCAAAATCTTCATCGGTGAACAAGCCGATATCACCGATGTCGCCACCGGTGCCATCACCGATCCCAAACAAGGCATTGGAAAGCCCTCGCATGTTATCGGCTTTGGCGATGCCGGAAGCGACCTTTTTTCTTGGATGATTCTGCCCAGGGCCATTTTCCATCAACTCGTCAATATCTGTATCGAAGGGTCGTTTCCTTGAGCCTTGCCCCGCCCGGTGATCTCCATTTGCAGCTACGCTATCCTGTCTGCCGTTTCCGACAGTAGGTTGATCACCCGGAAATAGCTTCATGGTGGTGGCATCTTCACCAGTCACCCGGACGGGGCGATTGACAGCCGGCTCGTCCGCATCATCCGCATCATCATCATCATCATCATCATCATCATCCGTCTCCTCATCGTCCTGACCACCCGAACCATCGGATGAAGATTCGGTCTCCTCCTGGTCACCTCCTCCATGCCCACTTTTCCCATTCCTTCCATCCTTCCCACTCCCACCTGCTGAGCCCGGACCCAATCGAGATGATTCTCGGCGATGACGTTTTGTGTGAGATGTCTGATTGGGGATATGCTCGTGGAGAATATATGGGTTGTTCAGAGCCAACGACTCCCCGGCCGGGAGTGAAGAATTGTTGGTCCTCGAAGGCAGCGAAGTGAGGCCGGTTATAGTGTTTGGTAGCGTTTCTTGAGGCATCGTATCGTGTAAAGAAAAAAAAAAAAAAAAAGATGGAGGAATTGGTTGGCAATAAATATATACGATATAATTGTAGTGTGTGTGGGGGGGTGTATTTCGTGCAAATGAGGTTTTCGGGTTGTTAGTTGTAGTTGCCGCCGGTTTGGGTGCACAGGGTTGAGGTGAGGGTGGATGTGAATTTTTTTTTTTCCCTCGGTATTTTTTTTTTACCCACCTGCTTTCAGCCAACAATCCCAATGCCAGGGCGAGAAAGAAAGAAAAGAAAAGAAAAAAAATCTGAAGCTTCCGTCGTATGTGTGATGCCCCAAATGTTACAGGACGATATCCTTCAATGGATGTGCTTGTTCGATAGATCTCGAAGAAGGCCCTTCTCTCTAATGGATAAGAGATAGAGGATCAAAGGTATCGTCGTTTTTGTCGTCTGTTCTTGTCAATCGCTGGAGCTGTTAGGCTGGAGGTGTGTGTGCAACACCCCCAGAGTGATTTACAACTCAACAACGATGTTGGCAGCCTGTGACATTTTGGGTGATGACGATAGTGAATTCTGGAATTTGAGCTGTGGGTTAGGAAATGTCTGCGGGTTGTCCGGAGAAGCTGGGTGGATGGGAGGGGATGAGGGTGAAGGAGGTGAAGGGGAACAGCGGTGGAAAGCCAGTGTGGGCCAATTTTTCGCGAGGCTGTGGGGTCGCATGTTACATACAAAAGCCCAAGTGCCAGAAAACTCAGAGCATCATAGTTGCCCACCTCCCACCGCTTCTCACCATCCACGACCGAGCCGCCGGCATGAGGGAGAAGGACGGAAAAAGTAAAAATAGTAATATTGGCATTCCCCAACGGCCTACTGGAGCTGGCCACCGCGAAAGGCTACAAGAGTTAGGCATCTTGAATCGCAGTGCCGGTACCGGTACTCGAGCAGCTACTATACCATCATACCGTACCATGCTCTACTCGTACAGTACTCGAGTACAGAGTTCCTCAGGTATAACTTGGTTTAATTGGATCAACAATGTACGGAATGATGATCCTATAAAGCGTAGAGACCCTTTGCCACTTTCGTGCTCTCACCCCTACCCGACCCCATGGACGGCGGCAAATAGGGTGGGCAAACAAACATTCTCACGGGTATTGCTTTGGGGAGGAATCGGAATCGAGTCAATCGACCTCCGTAAGCCCATTTTCCATGTCGGTTGTGCCCAAACTCGGATATAATCTACTGAATTCATCTCCACGCAATACCGTACCCCCAATGTTGCATGCAGGAAGGCTTGCAGCTCTTCCTCTACCAAATCATGTCTTTGTACGATCCTCAAAGAGGAGGGGAAGAATTGAAGCTTAGGGCAGGAGGCAAGGTTTGTCAGTGATAGCGCTGCGAAAGACTCACACACCACCTGTCATGGCCTCTAGCGGCACCATATCCAAGTTACGCATGGTTGATGGCTGTTGGTCAGTAGCTCTTTGATTCCCTACCCTCCATTAAATCCCAGTCGAGCTAGATCATCGGAGGGGTGGAGCGCACGTATATAGAAATCCGCCCGACAATCAGTCATTACAAGTAGAAGACGAACTTACAGTTCGTAACGACACCAATTGATATCGATCAGATGCTAATGGCAAGCCCGTTACTGTAGCGTTCCTCTTGAGGTGCTGTGAGCGAGAGAGGACGGTCGGACTGTTACTCGTACTGTATGTGCGACCCAAAACGGCCGTTGCCTACCACAAAGTGCCGCTCCGTCTTTTTTTCCTTCTTTTTTTTTCCTTCTTGCGCTCACCCACACACACTCGCGACCCCACCCACACAGTGTGACTTCGTTTTCCTTCCTGATGCCCCACAAATCTTTCGGTGAAGGAAAATAAGCCCGATACTGCGCATCAACTTTCTACCGTACCCCGGTACTCGAGTACGATAACGGAAGCGCTCGTGATGTTACTTTTTGTGTGCGCTCCAATTCCGTTTTGGTTCGAATGCGAGAGAGGATCCCGCTTCCACGCGGGGAAAAAAAATAAAAATAAAATGCGTATCGTACCGTGCCAAGCGCACTATGACGAAAATGAGCTAGTTTATGACATTGGTCCTACAGTTAACAGTCGGAATGGGGAGAAACGACGACGGGCGAGCGAAAGAGAAGCGCTTCTTGTCGAAGAAGGGGGAATGGAATGAATCGCTTGACAGGGTCATGATGCAACTCGACACGGTGACGAACTCGCCCAGCCCCTGATTACCCGTATGGATATTCGCGATTGGTCAGAAATAAACTTTCTTGTGCTCCCCGAAGACATTCCCGAGGTTTTTTTTTTCTCCTTTCTCTCTTCTCTTCTTCCCCCTGACGTGACGGTAGGTGCCGCCTGTTTCACGGCACTCTTCAACACAGATTTACCTCCCCCCGGGCACGGCACTGGGCCCTCTGATCAAGTTGGCCCCGTTAGCTAGGAGAGTTGCGTGCTGGATGAGAGCCGGATCCGAAGTTTGGGTACCGGTACCCATTCTGCATCCTCACCGTTGGTATTATATTATACCCCGGTCAGTCATGCACTTGCCAAGACTTTAGGGGTTTGAGGGAGAAAGCAAACCTCGTTTGCGGCTCGCTGCTCCCTTGGGAAACGCTTCGACAGGTGGGAAGGGAGCATTTCTCGAGGAATTGGCTTGCCTGGGTCCGATTCTCGGATGGCTTATGGTGCACTGGCCATTGGTATGGATGCTTCGGCCCCTGTCACACAGTAAGCCTTGCTCAGGCATGATGCCGTGCCCCCCATACAATCCCTCACATCCCCGGCTGACAGTACTTGTATCAGAGTGATGGGCTCAACGCACAGATACAACTCTAAAATCACCTTCGAACGTCGAACGTACGATTTCAAGCTCCCCTATGATCCCCTTGCCCCATCGTTCACATTAATCCCCCTAGATTGCTTCATACACACATCCACCCCCAGCGGTGAAGTGTGAATGGGACTTGAACAGCGATACATATTCCCCACATGTGTGGCGGGATTCGCAATCCCACCGAATGCTCTCGGCTTCTAGTTTCTATTACCGTGTGCATTTCGCGATGGGTCTTAACCACACGTGCCTTCCTTTTGTTAATCCGGAGCGCTGATATGATCCCCGCTTAGACACTGCGGATTCGAATTAGACGGGATATGCATGTTATCCGCCCTCCCTAGAAGGATGAGAAAAAACAAGCCAACCCAACACCAGTGCCGCCGTGGTTATGGAGGTCTTTCCTCTCTTTTTTTCTTCTTCCTTTTTCCTTTTCCTGTCTATAATATTTCATCAGGTTCTCCTGCTTGCAAATTGCGACTTTCGAGGCCTCCATCGATACAACTATCACATCTTACTTCGGGGTATTGTCGGACTGACGTACACCATAGCGTATGATACCGGCAGGAGTTCTTTTTGCCCCTCCCCCAGTTCCACCAAAAGCAGCCTAGGCTCGCGTGCCCCTCATCCCAAGAGGTCAATTATAATACAGCTCAACTGCCAAACGTGCGTGGACACGTACGTACTCCAACCGGGCCCTCAATTTACCCCTCCCTTCGTTCCAAAAGTAAAAGTTTTCATCTGGACTTACCCCGCCGCGCTTTTCGGGTATCTATCGTGATCTTGGCAATAAGATTCACAGAAAAACCCGCTCCATCGCCACTTTCCTTTTTCCCCCCTTATTAATAATACCTTTTTAATATTTCTTCCTTTCCTGCTTGCTGGTTCGATTTGCATTTTTTTCCAGGACAGAACCACGCCCCCCCCCCTTTCCCCGCCTTCTCTTTTTCTTTTTCTCCTTGCTTTCTTCCGTTTCTTCCCCGTGCTCTTTCTTTGCTTTTCTCGACAAGGTGAGACGGATGCTTCAGACCGCACGGTGCTGTACAGTACAGTGCTCTTATACACCGCTCCACTCTTAGAAAGAGAGAGAGAGAGAGGATGCATGGGCAAATTGGGGATAATAAAGAGGCCTTTCTTGCACCCGCCTAGTATGTTCATCATATGATCAAATTGGAATCTGAACTGGGCAGATCCCGTCGTAAAAAAAGGATGTTCCGGAAAGGTGGGAAATTCCAAATGTTGCTATGATGACTTGGATCGACAATGTGAAAAAGATTCCCAAAATACATGACTGCAAAAAAAATTAACTAGTTATGGTGCTCCATCTCATCATCATCCCCACCGCCACACCGAGAAAAGCCCTGTCAATCTGTCGCTTGGATATTAACGAATGCACATTAGTATATCGACCGGGAATTCCGTATTTGGAAAACTTGTTCAATCAACCATGTCTGTTGTGGGGACGGCTGTCTGCCTGTCCGTCGGGCCCAGGCAGCGCCCTCGCGCTTGGGTAATGATCTAACATGCAACGCACACAATTACCAATTCGCCCTCAGTCCTACAAGTATCATAAACAAAGTGCTCGATATGATCAACGAAATCCAATAATCACACTCCCCCCACCCCCCTCTTTCTAACTCGGAAAAGCCCCCCCTCCCCCCCACGAACTCTTGATAAACGGGGTGTATCATATCATGCCGCAAAAGGAAAAAAATACCACACCATGATATAGTACTCGAGTACTATGTAGTGCCACAGAAATATGATACCGGTGCGAGAAATCTGCCGACCGCACACAAGCAGGATCTAAAACAAGGGCAAACCGGGACCCCCCATGACAGAAGCAACGTGTGCGGTGCAGATCTGGACCTAGGAACACACGCTATCGCACGGTACTCGAGCAGTCAACCGTACTGTACTTGCCGTCAGGGCATACCGTGAGATAATTCGCGCTGCATGCGAAAGAATTCCAGACCGGGCAGGTATAGCGCACGAGCATGCGATCACTCGAGCACTCGCAGTATCGAAACCATCTTTTTTTCGCTGAAAGAGAAAAGGAACCCCTATTGGACACCGCCCAGATTCAAGCAAGGGGTACCAGCTTCCGGTAACATGTAACTTAGGTCTCAAGTTTCCACGAACGCCAACCCGCTCCGAGTACAGTGTTTGTACTCGCATAAGAGCCGGCCCGCATGTATGATAGGATATCACTCACAGACCGTAACTGCAAGTCCATAGCGACCCAATTGGGCAATCACGAACCATCACCCGGCCCTCCATTGGTTTCCTCCGATGTTATTTTTTTCCCCCTTTTTGTTGAGTCCAATTGGCGGTGGTAGGGTGTGCACGTGTGTTGTAGGTTCATGGGCAAGTGATTATATGCCCCCCCCCCCTCCCCCCCCCGAGGGTAATGCATGAACCCCCCGGTGTGCCGCCTTGTGCGGTGGTGGACTCGGCGGACCTTGGTTATGCGGTATCATACTCGTGCGTACAGTATTGTGTTGCCCGATACACTTGGTTGAGATTGGGGATCGTGTTTTGGTAATTGGGCTGGTTGGTTGAAAGGGGAAAGGGGGTGTCGTATCTTTTCTTACATTATCTTGTTTGCTGGTTGTGTTGCTCCGGGCCGTTCACTGTGATACCTCAACGGTCGGTGTGGGTGGAGGGGCCTGATATCGGTGGGTGGTGCTATTAGGGAGGTGGTTATTGTCGTGTTTTTTTTTGAGTGAGGTTCACACACTATCACTCGGGTGGGTTGGGCTGGGGGTTTCCAGGGATTGGTTTAAGTAGCGTGGTGTGTAATACAACGCGATCTGCTGCGGGAACTTGTCGTGGACTCGCTGGATGTCTGTCACACACCGGACTGGTATCGCGTGAAAAACGGTTTGGATGGGGATGGAGATGGAGATGGAGATGGAGATGGAGAGGTTGAGAGGGGGGTTTACACACTGCGTGCACGAGTTGGGGTTAAAATGGGCTATTGAACCTGGCGCTACGTATGGGAATATCCTGGTCTAAACTCGGTTCTTCAACAGTAGTTTCCTCAAGTGCACGATCATACTCGCATCTATTCTAGTCCTCCATAACCCGCCGTCACCGCTCAATATGCCCGGTTTGGATATCTAGAACCCCCCTTATTATGAACAAGTCCATTGGATCGGCGCTTCCCGTGGTGTGAGCTCTTGTGGCAAATGAGGCTAACACTCGGGATCGACTTTGAGCGCACGAGGGTTCCTTTAAAGGTGTTGTACCCTAACCCTCGAATTCACTGTACAGTGCCGTTCACGATCCGGTGGTAAGGTACAGCGCAGGATTATCCCGAGCACATCGCGGTGTCGGGGTTTTAATGGTGATTGTGCCCCACGCAATTGGATCCCATCATTTCACGGAATATCTGCATCTCGGCTCGCGGTTTGATGACTTGATTGACGTTCCTGTACACAGTGCTGTGCCGCTTCCGTGAGCATCGTGGGCACGATAAAGTTTGCTATTGGAACGAGTTCCCAATCCAGTCTCGCAAGTCGTGGTGCCGGTTCCGTTGAGCTTTGGGTAGGTGTAGGAAAAATCGCATAGTGCTTCCCGGGCAGCGGTGAGGGTACGATGTGTTGGTTGTTATGTTCCAAGGGGAGGGGGGGGGGTAGTGGGGGAAAGGGTTGAGATCCCTTTGGTGTTGATAAGGAGGGAGGTCTATCGCGCGGTGTGGGAATAGGTGAGCGGCAAGCAAGGGTGGTAGGAAAGAAGAGGTAATAGTGGCGGAAGCTGGGCGAATCCCGGTTCACAAACTTCTTTTCCGCCGGCTCTCACGGTGCGGCCGCTCCCGTGTGTACAATACAGTAAATGTGTTTATATCGACCTAAGAAGCTTTCATTCCCCTCCAAATTCGGCACAGCTACTGTCTAGGTTGTACAATAATATAGGTAGATATCATGTAATGCTAATACCGTATTAAATTCAATAAGGGCAGCACGTCTTTGGACGTGTGACTTTCCTATACGGCGGGGACGGGAGAAAAGACCAGAGAAATAAAACCGCGCGTTGCTTAGAGGGGAAATCCAAACGTCCTCCGAGGGTTTGCTCTTATTCAAGTTAATACTGTAATTGGCAGAGGTGGAACTCTGTTTCCTATTTTACAATATTCATAATATACTCTACACACTTACTGTGCTATATCCGAACACACCTGCGAATACGCACAGGCATTTTACGAGTTTGCGTCTCTTTTTCCGTTTGCTTTTCTAAGGAGCAGGTGTCTAAGCTTTTACAGTTTGACCTGTAGCGGTAGGCAGCCCGTCGAAATTAGAGCTCGTTTCTCTCCTCCCATTATCTCAAGCCAATAATTGGCCTGACCAGGAGTCTAGACAGTGCTCTCAATCTAAGCGCTTGAAGAACCGTAGACAATAATAGGGGGAACAGGAGAAGTAGGAATTTTTAAAGTTATACTTAACTTACATAACTTGGGTAATCTCCGGAAAATATCATGATGAAAATTACTATTTTAGATAGCACAATAGGATATCTTCTGAAGAAAGAAATCTTTTAAAATGATATTGTGATCGACTAATGGTCTATACATCGGACCGGGGGACGAGATGAAGGGTTTATGGATGTGCTAGCTGCCTTTGGGACAATGTCAGCAACAGTCTGGGGACAAGGTCTGCCCGCTGGGAGGGCGCCGAGCAGGCAGGACCACAATTTCGAGTCCGCCAGGTCCCGCAACTTTTGAGGATGGTGGGCTTGGCAGTGGCCACCGGGTTGACAAGCCAAGACATTTTGTTGTCCTAACACTAATAGCCTCACGGAATGCAGATCTCCCGACAAAGGCTGTGGAGATCTGTAGGGATCTGCGGACTAAGGGGGCGCCGCAATGCCGTCCAGGGACCGGGATCGTGGGTCCACTCGAGGTCAGTAAAACCCCGCGAGGGATATACGGTACAATATAGTTCGCGAGGGGGCCCGTCGCGATATCTTAAGAACTCGAATAATTGGCACTCGCTCTATGACGTCTAAAATTCCCTCTCTCGGGTGGGGGGGGGGGTCAAAACACTACGAAAAATCACCCCCTAAGCCCCAGCTTAAGACAAAAATGTGCCGGACCATTCCAGTAAAGGCAAGTCCAACGTCCTAGCACGAGTACCAATTATTCGAGTTCTTGCCGTATGGAGGGAGTTGTGTAAAAAGATATGAGTTGTATAAGCAGCAGAAGAATATCCTTTATCGACTATCCTAAAAGCAGAAGCAAGGATGACGATTATTTATCCTCCGCTTAGCGCTATCGGAGGTGAAGAAATTTCACTCCTTAGGTTATACCATCGGAGGGAGTCGAATAAGGAGATAAAACGAGTGACGGGGAGATGACGACGGACTAGAGAGCCGCAACAGGTTGGGGATGATTTGCTCCCTTAGAAGTCTTTACTTGTATTTTCATCGTGTATTCGGAGCCAGGATTTAGTAGTAAGTACCTAGTCCTAATATATCATTCCAATATGGGTATGATAATAGCTAGTTTGGTCACGATTCGATACGAAGTTACTTGACCGCTCGCTCAAGTAGCCTGACTGAAGTCACCCCTGCCTTTTTTCCTGGTGACCCACAAACAAAAAAAAGGACGATCATAATCCGATAAGAGATTACCGTAAAATCCCCTAAAATTCCACTCTCCGGCCCCCCATCATCCCACTATAGGTTTAGTCTAGCAGGTTGACAAATTGGGAATACCGGTTAGCAAGAGCCAACATACACCTAGCCGTCCTATCTTTACTGTATCGGGAAAACGCTAATCCTTTCTCACGGGGGGCGGGCAGACGGAGATAGTGGATCTCACGAGATCTGAGGATATTACCAGGTCATGATGTTGTGATCCTATTTTAGTACAAATTCTACTAGCTTCGAAAGACACTCTCCAGCTACCGGATTCCGAATACACGATGAGAACATAGGTAGTCTAATAATACTTAGCTCCTGGTACTGTGGGGATCTGGCAGGGGTGCTCACTTTTGTGCTCTCGACCGAGTTTGGGGTATCTGCTGCTTCAGGGGTTCTCTCTCTCCCCTCCACCCAACCCGGTGTAGACTATTAAGGGTGCGTCTGGTTGCCACCTCAAACCTTCATTTTGACCCCGGTTATGAAGGTTTGTCACAAAATGCTATTTTGCTTTTGAGTGGCAT